GGCCATGTCATAGTTAAGAACAAGTGAAACATCCCTGGAAAAGAAATAAAATGAAGAAATCAACTTTGAGAGATTTTACTTGCGCTATAAAGCACATTTTAGTGAAGAAAAAAAAACTTCATACGTTTGACCATCAACCCCGTTCCCAGGGTTCTCTCCGATTAACTGGTCTCCAGGTTGAGTTTGGAAATGAGTTTAAGAAAATCATCTTCAGGCCAGGAGCCAACAAAAACAAGAAAACAAAGAATCAAACTGTTATCATGAAACTTACTTGATATCAATACCACGACCGGCTACATCAGTGGCCACAAGGATGTCCTTTGCACCAGCTTTAAGACTTGACAAAGCAAACTCTCTGAAAGAAAACCAAAAAAAAGAATCTTTGACAGGTTCAGAATTAAGATGCACATGTTATGTAACCGCGTATGTTCAACTCAGTTGGCGAACCAATGAAACTGCGGGTAGAGATGCATGGCAAAAATGGTGCAAGCCGTTTAAGCCGGGGGTTTAATCAAGCAAACGACAGTGGGCTCATCTTGCGAGTAAAAAAAGGGAACCGATCGAAGATTACGTTGACAGAGCTGTTTAACCTACAAACGTTTTTTTTCCGGGTTCATTGCAATTGATTAAATTGCCACTACCTTGTACTTCCGCAGTTCACATCATCTTCATGTTTCATTCCTTTCACGGGTTACGATGAACTCAACAAATTGGCCTGCTCCAAATGTATGGGTCTTCATAGCTCAAATGGTCAAACACTGCAGCACTAACGCAGAGGCCATGGGTTTGTTGAAGTCCGGAATTTATTTTTTTCGGGTTTATTTGAAATTGCTTAAATTAAAACCACCCCTGCGACGATCATATCTTCATTTTAAAAAAACGGCAACATTCTAGAATTTCACTGAAACATTCTTCCATCCGTCCAATACCCTTGTTTTCTTAGTTTCCTATACTTTCTGTGTCTCGCTAGATTTACAAAACAGACATTAAACAACCATGAAGACGAAATAACAAGCAGAGGTTACATCTAAACCTCACCTTTGTTCTTGGTTTCGTCCACCGTGGAGAGTTGTAGCACGGAACTATAAAAGAAAATTCAGGAAGTTATGTCAGTACCTCTCGGGAACGAAAATTAAAAAAGGGAAGGTATGCAACTGAAGACACAAAAGGATAAAAACGATCGTAGATGAAATCAAATAGAGGGGTAAACCAGGCACTTTAAGAATGACAGTGAAAAACGTTTGCCCGAGTGTTCACGATCCGCGTCATACGCTGTCCGTCAAAACTGAAGACGAAAACAGGATTTGCTCGTTTTACCAGGCCCAAAACTCTCTTATATAAAAACAATTAAGTAATTCGCAATGGCGTTCAAGCAGCCACTGGTAAAACAACAACAAAACCATAGCCATCATCGAAGAGAAAAGATATAAAATCACTGACGCCCAAAGACACAAACAATAACTTACGCCCATTTTTTCCAGGGACTTGGCGAGCACGTCCGCTCCCTAAGACAGACGGAAAAAGAGTTAATCAGCAAAACTTTATTACAGATATGTCGTCTCATAAGCAACAATGACTCGGAGTGCGTGATCATCGACTACGAGTATGACATTGGAATTCACTTCAAGCCATTTATGTTCTCAGGGTTCTCACTCTTTCCTGCTGCTGTGGGTTTCTTTTTTTGTACGTCATCTCAACTATCGGCTGCGGTGACACGCAACTCTTACCTTCTTTTGATTGACAAATATCATGATCGGAGGATCAATGCCAGCGTTCAATATCTCTAACAACTTCTTCCTGTCAAGGAAACAACAATAAACACTTAATGACTGGTCCCTCGGGAAACAGTTGATTTTATTTCTCGAGGATCTCCGGCATCATGAAACTAGAGGGAAACAAAATTAACTGTTTCCCGAGGGACCAGTGATTTGTCATATAGCCGGAAATTCATTACACCTCGCTGTGACAGCGGTCGTCGGTCAACATTCGCGGGTAACAGTGCGCTGTTACCTTCTGACGTCATAGATTTTGCAATGTTGCCCGCTTAGAGATTTTGGCGGGAAACAGTTTCACTGTTAGATGTCATGTGACCTCGAAGTAACCAATGAGAGCATGCTGTTGGGAAGAAATTTCCAGCTATATAACAACAACAATTATATGACAGTTTCCCCAAAATACTAATCAAAACTCGCTTTTCTACCTCTAGTACCAAAATGGCAGTTTGAGTTAATATTAATCTGAATTGGACAAAAAGATACACAGCAAAACGTTATAGGTAGCTGAGAGATAAGATGTGAAGTTCCAGGATAGACTTACATAAAAGAAGAACGCAGTTTTACGATAGAAAACAACAGTACACCTCAATTAATCTAGCGTTAGGAAATTTACATACATTACTGCAGTTTAATAAACATATAAAGGATGATACACGCAGGCGTACCTCTTTGCTCGTTCTTTAACCAAATAAACTTTCTGTTCCACTCTCTCGACTGGTCTGCCTGTGAAGTGATGAGAGAAAATCGAATTACTTTAATACAGAAACACAAGAGCTGCCCGCTTTAATAACCTGGACAATATTTCAAAACCTCCAATTATGTTTTTCTAGACAAGAAAACTTTGCTTAAAATTAGGTTTTACCCTGGGTTAAACTTAGCTGATATCTTTTGAGGAATCGGGCTCGCAATTTGAACCTGACAACTTCAGTTTAGATCATAACGTGGTAAGCTAGTTTTCAGGAAATCATCCCTGGCATAATTCAGTATGGTGTAAAACTGGTTGGACAAGCAGCATCAATGACCGATGTGTGACCGTCATAATCCAGCAAAGGGGAAAAAAAAAACAGAAAGATCCCCGTTACACTGTATATCCCGTTGACGGAGAGTTAAAACAGACTTGATCTTAACAATAGTTACCTATAGAACCGATGTAAACCACAGCTGGCGCCTGAAGGAAAAAAAAATAATCACAATGTTAGGTTCCCAGTCACTTGAGGTTGCTTTTCAACAAACAATTCTCCGTCAATTCTTCTCGTGTTATGACGTAGATCAGCATCTAATTTCTCCCTAACGTATCACTACCCAAATGTACAGATGATGATAAATATGATGAGAATTGGAATGCGAGTGCTGATATTGGGGCTACAAGGGTAGGAGGCAGCGTGGCCGAGTGGTTAGGGCGTTGGACTTGCAATAAGAAGACCCTGGGTTCAATACCCACCCTAACCGCTTGCTGGATTTGTTCAAACCCCCAACCAAGGTTGTAAATATCCAACTGGTTTGCCTCTATTAAGTTGGTATTGTTAGTCTCGTTACGTTTATCAGCCAATTCCAAGTTGTCTCAAGCCTCTGTTTTAAAACGAAGCTAAGTGTGCGAAGTCTTTGATATGAAAACGATTTTTTAATTCTCACGCAAATGAAACTCATTTTCACAAATGGGGTCATACACACGGCCTCGCTTTTTTAAAGCGAGGGCTTTTCGAGTACAGAAATGGTCTATTTGATCTATTTCTTTCAGTCGTTTGCTCGGTCTCACCAGCCTTGGTGCGGTAAATACTGCTGGGGGGTTAGAATGCGAGCAGTCTCTCTTTTTCTTCAGATTTAGGGAGGGAAATGCACGCGCGCGAGCATCGAGCGAGACAGAAGAAACGAGGGCGGCAGCCCGAGAAGATAAAAGAGAGTCTCTCTTTTTTCGTGCCTCTCCCGTCTCGCGCCTTCAGTCACGCGCGTTTTGTTCGACGGACCAAGAAAAAAGAGAGACTGCTCGAAATCTACCAGGGGTATATACCGGGATTATTTATTATTTAGTTAGTTCTAGTTAATGTGAGCGGCTTTGTGTGCGGATAGATCGTCTATTCCATTTAGAAAACACAGTTTCAGTACAAACCGATAACTGACCTTAGATAGTTTCTGGCCAAGCGTTCTACTTGTGGAGGCATTGTCGCATTACAGTCTAAACAAGGTGAAACAGAAAAGTCAATGATAGGGATCTCAGCTCACTGGTCTTCTGTAATATTTTTCAAAAGTTCAACTGGTGGTTACACTACATTCTAGTACTGTCCACCGACTAGAGTCTCAACTTCATCTCCTCGACGAGACGTCTCCTATTTTCCTTGTTGAAGCAAACGAAATGCGAAGGCTACAAACAGATATTAGTGAGTTTACGCAAGGGGACGGCAGGAAGAAGAGGACGGCAAAACGCTTATGCGTGACAAACGTGACAGGACTATTACTTGGGAGTGTTGTCGTGGTCTTCCCTTATCATTAATGTTTTCTGGCCTGTTTTTTCAAACAAAATTATTGTGACGCTTGTCACACAAGGTTTGCCGTCTTCTTTCCTTTCCCGTCCTATTGTGTAAGTTCACTATTATATTAAAGGCAACTTCATGTGAACCGTGAAAATTCTTTAAGCCCCGCCTACTTCTAACAAGCACCCCAGTCTAAAAACACAGAAACATTGAGCCCGCGGTTTAATTAATAAATAAATCAATCAATCAATAATTTATTTATACGAACCTGTCTAACCTTGTCCTTTCCCATATAAGCTAACAACTTTTCTGGATCCTCGGCATCTTCTGAATCAGGTTTGACATTGCTCACTGGAAGATGCTCCAAGATCTTCTGAACATCAGGTTCAAAGCCCATGTCAATCATACGATCAGCCTACAATGGTACCACAGACATGGTGTGCGCGATGACGTAAGAGTTTAGGAGCGCGCTAGGCCTTCTGGGAGAGATCCGAAAAACGTGTTGCGTTCTTGTAGCCATCTTGACGATCTGTGAGCCTTTAGTGAATTGAATCTGTGGAATCCTGTGGAATCCTTTAGAAGTTGGACCCTTCGGAGAGTTGTAACCTTTAGGAATCGAGCCTGACAATCCTTGGAATAAAATACAGTTCATAGTCGCCTACATGGTCCATCGTTAGCCGGATAAAAGCGGATTCTACGTACGAGTTGTGAGTGAAGTTGTGTTGTGTTATGGCCGAAGAACTCGCCAGAAAGCGACGGCAGCGTGCAGGGCACAGGTCAAGTGCGAAACGTATTATTTCATCCGTTATTGATGTCCTTGGAGGAGGAGACATTTCTCAAGTGCGGGAACACGAAATCAAGCTGAAACAACAAAGGGACAGCCTACAGCAGAAACTCAATACTCTTCGGCAACTTGATGCAGAAATTCTTGACCTTGTGGCCGAAGAAGAAATCGAAGGTGAAACTGAACGAGCAGATTTGCTGGAGGAAAATGTTCAGTTGGCTATTGCTAACATAGAAAACGCCTGGTCGCCGAAGGTCGTGTGTTCAAATGTAAATACCGAAGCGAATGTGTCGGAAAGCACGTCAGCAAATGAAGTTCAAATCGGGAGTAATTCTTCGCCTCCTTCAGCTTCAACGCCGAATTCCTCTTCATCTGTGCGGAGAAATACTCAAGTTAAATTGCCAAAGCTGGAGTTAAAGAAGTTCGACGGCGATCACAGTAAGTGGATTTCTTTCTGGGATAGTTTTGAAGCCTCAGTTCATAAAAATGAGAGTTTAACTGCCATTGACAAATTTAACTACCTAAACTCGTTGCTCGAACGGTCAGCGGCAGAGGCCATTTCCGGGTTAAGTCTTGGGGCATCGAACTATGAGGAAGCAGTAGACATTTTGAAAGCTAGATTTGGCAACAAGCAGCAAATAATTAATCGTCACATGGAAATTTTGTTGAATCTTGAATCTGTCACATCTCACTATCATGTAACAACAACAACAACAACAACATAAGCTTTATTTGCATGACTATAATTATGTAGTTACAGTATTGCAAAAGCTTTAATATAAAAACAAACAAACAAACAAACAAACAAATCGTAACAATGATAATGCAATGATGACTGTCGTCAATCAAGTGTCATCAGCATGACTTGATAACAAATTATTACGTAAATCATTACATAATGAGACAAATTTCAACAAATGTGAATTTACGGAAAAATTCTGTGAATTCATCAATTTAATTATTAATTCTGTGTAAGATAGCTGATCAAAATCGACAAAATTTTGTTGGATTTGATCGTAGAATTTCTCCCTTGGGATTGAGTATTTTGGACAATGGAAGAGAAAATGAAATTCGTCTTCAATTATACCAGAGTTACAAATAGGACAGAGTCTATCGTTGCGGGAAGTTTGATTATATCTTCCAGTTTCAATCATGAGTTTGTGGTTACTTATACGAATTTTCACTAAATCTTTCCTATTCGCAGAATTTCTAATTAAGTCTAGATAACTTGAAATTTTATAATCATGTTTAAATAAGCTGTAAAATTGTAGTTTCTTAGAATGATGGATTGTATGTTGCCAATATGCAATATATTTTTGTTTTATTATATCTATATAGTGTTTGATCTTAGCTTCACTTAAATTATTAGGATCAAAATCAGGGAGGTCATAATATTCAGATATTTTCATAAGATTATTGTAAAAGCTATTTTTACCATTACAGTGAAGTTCTAGCGAAGTACGAAAGGCTTGTTTAACAATAAGAAGCCTACGTCAGCTGCACGACACTGTTGAATCTAATGTGAGAAGCTTAAAGTCATTAGGAGTTTCACGTGAATCGTATGGGGGTTTGCTATCATCCATCTTAATGAATAAGCTACCTCAAGAATTTCGTCTTGTTATTACAAGAGAAATGGGAGATGATGATTGGCAGTTGGATCAATTGCTCAATATTTTTAAAAGAGAACTTGAGGCAAGAGAAAGGGCAGGAGGGTCTACGGTGAACAAAGGACAAACCTCTCCACCAAAACCGAAACGAAGGGAAGAAGGAACTACACATGCCTTGTTAACTGGTGGTGATGCTAACTGTCCCACCTGCACCTACTGTAGGGGAAAACACCCATCAAGGGATTGCCAAACAGTACCTGATGTACTAGCTCGTAAGGAGCTTTTGAAGAAGTACGGGAGATGTTTTGTTTGCCTGCGAAAAGATCACATTAGTCGTAACTGCTCAGCCAAATTCAAGTGTCATAACTGCAAGGGGAGACACCATGTTAGTATTTGCCCAGCCAACCTGAGTCCTTTGCAGCCAACGAAACCTGAAACACCAGGACCACAACAGCAATGCTTAACAGCACAAACTGCAAGCAATAGTGTCGTTTTTCATAATGATTCCACTACACCCGTGTTCCTTCAAACTGCCCAAGCCGTGGTGTACAATCCTCAACAGCCAGAGGTTAAGGTCAGGGCTAGAATAATCTTGGACAGTGGAAGTCAGCGCACCTATCTTACAAACAACCTGAAGAACATTCTTCAACTACCTACACTAGAGAAGAAGCAAGTCTCAATAAAAACTTTTGGAAGTACCGTTGAAAGATTAGAGTTGGTAGAAGTTGTGGCCCTAGGAGTAGAGCTAAACGGAGAACCAGACCTTTCACTGTCAGCTTTTACATTGCCTCTGATTTGTCAACCATTACAAGGCCAACCTGTGGAACTAGCAGTGAAAAATAACCCCTGCCTTTCTGGACTCAAACTTGCTGACTTTTGTACCGAAGGAGAGACTCTTGGTGTTGACATTCTAGTTGGTTCAGATTATTATTGGAAGTTGGTGACTGGCCACACCATTAAAGGGGCCCAAGGTCCTACAGCTGTTCACACCAAACTGGGATGGGTACTTTCAGGACCCGTTTGCTTAGGGAGTGTAGAAAATCAACAGAGAAGTAATCTTGTGACAACCCATGTCTTAAAATGTGCTACTGATCAAGTGTCCTATGATGGTCTTCAGGGAGAGTTGAAGAAGTTCTGGGACTTAGAGTCTCTCGGTGTGAAGCCGCCAAGTGTCTATGAAGAGTTTGTTGAGAAGTTGTTGTACAAGGGAGACCACTATGAGGTCAGTCTCCCGTGGAAGGCTACACATCCACCACTCCCTGAAAACTATGAGTTGAGTCTTCGAAGATTGCAAGATTTGCTCAGTCGACTCCGTAAGAAGCCAGACATCCTGAAGGAGTATGACAGTGTTATAAAGGATCAAATCGAAAGAGGAATTGTGGAAGTTGTGAATGAAGAAACCAAGCCTGATGTCGTCCATTACATCCCTCATCACGCTGTTATCAGACGAGACAAGGCAACTACAAAGTTAAGAATTGTATATGACGCCTCAGCCAAGTCAGATGGAGCTTCATTAAATGATTGTCTTCGTGCCGGTCCTGCGCTTACACAAAGTATCTTTGACATTATGTTGAGGTTCCGAAATCACAGAGTAGCTCTGGTGGGAGACATTGAGAAGGCGTTCTTAATGGTCCATATGAATGAAACTGACAAGGATGTACTCCGTTTCCTGTGGGTCGATGACATCGATAAGGCTGAACCTAAAGTTATTACACTGAGGTTTATACGTGTTGTGTTTGGACTGTCTTCAAGCCCATTCTTACTGAACGCCACAATTAAACATCATATAGAGCAGTATGAACAATGTGACCCTGATATTACCCGGAAGTTTCTTGAAAGTGTCTATGTTGATGACTTGACATCGGGGGACAGTGACGTGGACAGCACCTTTGAGCTCTATGTGAAATCGAAATCGAGGCTCAGGGAAGCAGGTTTCAATTTGCGGAAGTTTATCACAAATTCAGGAGAACTGCGAGCGAGAATTGAGGACAATGAGAGATTAGTCTCAGGAGAAACAGCTTCTGGAGATGGAGGGAATGTTGACAAGCAGGTTGTTGAAACACCAGTAGTAGACACAAACGTCGTGGAAGAAGAAGATATGACCTATTCAAGAAGTGTTCTAGGAAGTGCAGTTGAAGATGTTAGCGTTCAAAGAATTTTAGGGACTCTATGGAACTATCACAATGACAACCTCGTCTTTGATTTTACAAACACTGCCTCTTTAGCAAAGAGAGTAGAACCTACTAAGAGAAACGTGATTAGCACAGCCTCAAAAATGTATGATCCACTCGGTCTGATTTCTCCGATCACAGTCCAGTTTAAAATCCTGTTTCAAGAGTTGTGCAAGGACAAGAGAGACTGGGACGAACCACTGGAAGGTTCTTGCAAGTCAATCTGGCAGAGATTGGTGACACAACCGCAGGGTGTTAAACCTCTTACTCTTCCGAGATGTTATTATGCTGGCACGGAAGGGGAAGTGATTGCGAGTGAACTGCATGGGTTCTGTGATGCATCAGCTAAGGCATACGGTGCGGTGGTCTTTCTGCGTATTGTGACGACGTGTGCAAGTTATGTCAGATTTGTATCTTAAAAAACACGAGTAGCACCTCTCTCGGAGCAGACCATACTGCGTCTAGAACTGTTATCCGCGGTAGTCCTGTCCAGACTGATCCATAGCGTAAAGGAAGCACTTACTTCTGAGATGAAGATTGACAAATTGTTTTGTTGGACAGATTCCAAGATAGCCTGGTATTGGATTGTTCAGAGCCAGAAGGAGTGGAAACCATTTGTTCAGCACCGTGTTGACGAGATAAGAAAGCTTGTACCTGAAGAATGCTGGAATCATTGTCCAGGGGCTGACAACCCAGCCGACTTACTCTCTAGAGGTATGGACTGTCGTGAGTTGGAGAACAGTGTGCTATGGTAGAATGGTCCCAAGTGGCTGACTAGTTTCGAAGGCCTGGAGAATCGGAAGGAGATTGCGGAAGAGCCAGTCCCCGAAGCCTGCCTTGTAGAAATGAGGGTGAAGGATCGGAAGACAGTAACGACTGCTCTTGCAATGAACAGTGAACCTACTATGCTGTGTAATATCATTCAAGGTGAAGCCTTCAGTAATCTTGGACGTCTCCTGCGAGTTACAGCCTTAGCTCTGAAGTTTATTAAGCTATTAAAGGCACAGCGACAGGGAGATGTGAATCAAAAGCCGGAGATACGTGTGACCGGTGCAGACATAGAAGAAGCCGAACTTCTATGGATCAAGGAAGTACAACGAGAGATGAAGAGTAAGGAGAAGTTTAAGATGAGGTCGCACCAGCTAGGGTTGTTTGAGGACGATAAGGGAGTTATTCGATGTCAAGGTAGACTCGGGAACAGCGAGCTTACAGATTCTGCGAAGTATCCAATCTTGCTTGACGCTAGCCACCACTTAACTACACTTGTAGTCTGGAGATGTCACGAAAGAGTCATGCATGGAGGAGTTAAGGAAACACTCACCGAGTTGAGATCGAACTTTTGGATTGTTCGAGGCCGATACTTTATCAGAAGTTTGTTGTTTAGATGCACAGTTTGTAAGAAGTTTGAAGGGAAACCGTATAAGGTTCCACAAGCTCCACCCCTGCCTAACTACAGAGTGAAAGAGGCGCCTGCATTCTCGTACATCGGTTTGGATTATGTTGGACCTCTTTTTGTGAAGTCTACCAGTGACGAAGAATGTAAGGTCTGGATTTGTTTGTTTACTTGTTGTTCTACGAGGGCGGTCCACTTCGAGGTTGTGCCCAATATGACTTCAGAGGCATTTCTGAGGTGCTTCAGAAGATTTGTAGCTCGTCGTTCAAGGCCTTCTTTAGTGGTACCATACAATGCCAATACATTCAAGAATGCTTCTAAGGAGCTTGAGAAGATTACAAATGATCCCAGTGTTGTTAAGTACTTTGCTCAAGAGAAGATCAAATGGTCCTACAACTTAGAGAAAGCCCCATGGTGGGGAGGCTTTTACGAACGACTTGTCAAGTCACTGAAGAGATGTCTTAAGAAGACAATCGACCGAGCCAAGCTTTCCTATGATGAACTTGTAACTGTTGTTACAGAAGCTGAAATGATCTTAAATTGCCGACCCATTTCATATGTCTCTTCTGAGGACCTGGAAGAACCCCTCACACCGTCCCACCCCATTGTTGGTCGAAGACTCGGCGCCCTTCCTGAAATAGACAGTCCTGCAGATGCAGATTTTAGAATTTCGTCGGACGACATGAGCAGAAGAGCAAGACACCTTGATATGATTCTGACTCATTTTTGGAAGCGTTGGAGAGCAGAATACCTTCTTGAATTACGAAATGCCCATAACCAATTGAAGAAGACGGCGGGATCAAGGGTAGTGTGTGTCGGAGATCTGGTATTGGTTCATGACGAAACCCACCCAAGATCTTACTGGAAGATGGGCAAGGTGGAACGGCTTCTGATGAGCAAGGATGGGCAGAGTAGAGGTGCTGAGGTCAGAGTCCAAGGGAGAGGATCAAGTGGAGGTGGACTCTTAAGGAGACCGCTACAATTGTTGTACCCACTGGAAGTAAGCTGTTCTACGAATGAAGCAGCTCCTCAGGAACAAGTACTTGAATCACCGGAACAGTCGACGCAAGGTCGAGCGAGAGGAAATCGAGAGCGGCGTAGAGCTGCAGTCGAGGGAGAGCGAAGAAGAAGACAGTGGATTGCTGAATAACAAGACGAACATTAAGTTTGTTTATGTATTTTGAACATTGAACAGTTTTTTTGAGAGAGACTATATTCACTGAGTGATATCATTATTTTTTTTTATTTCTTTTCGATATTTGATTCTAGGTATAGAAGGTGGATCATTCTTCATGGTCCACGGGGGGGAGTGTGCGCGATGACGTAAGAGTTTAGGAGCGCGCTAGGCCTTCTGGGAGAGATCCGAAAAACGTGTTGCGTTCTTGTAGCCATCTCGACGATCTGTGAGCCTTTAGTGAATTGAATCTGTGGAATCCTGTGTAATCCTTTAGAAGTTGGACCCTTCGGAGTGTTGTAACCTTTAGGAATCGAGCCTGACAATCCTTGGAATAAAATACAGTTCATATTCGCCTACACATGGCTCAGACGAATGATTGAGTAAGGAGTAGGGCTTTCCACCGCATTTTCCTATGTAAAACAGCTTATTCTTTATCGGATTCAAAATAACGCAAAAAAAAAATAATAAAAATAAAAACAAATTAAAACTACTCACCTCATCAAGAACAATATATGAACAGCGACTAAGTACAAGGTATCGATTTTCTGTAGAAGAAAGAAGAACAAAAAGCTTCAACCAATTACTTCAAATCTTATGAACAACGAAATTGCAACTCCATAGATTTACAATCGCGTCTCTAAGAGAGGATACCGTTAAATTCTTTTAAGCCTTAAATTTTGTTTAACTTAGACTAACTTAAATTAAATTTTGTATAACTTAGCTTAGTTTAACTCTACCCAATTCCGACACCGGCACCGCCATCAAATGGGCACCAGAAGGGACTAAAAATACAGAAACCCTGAGAGACATGGAGAGGAACAGTAGCGCAAGAACTAATAGAGTTAGGACTGGGGTCCTGGATTGAAACCTCCATCGATTGCAGTAACAGAGGCCGTTGATGAAGGAAAATTTCCTGCCCTTTTTAACCTATCTTAAAACTTACGACGATACCACAAGACAACTATAGACGAGACTGATTATCTTAACAACGTTTCTAGTAAGAACAATTACAACACGGTCTTTGTTAGACGGAACACTCACAGTAACACTGATTCCAACTCTCAGAACAACTCTGGCCCTGTTACGACAACGACTATACCGTACATCAGGGGCACCTCTGTAACTATTGCACGAATATTACAACCTTAGAATATACGTGTTGCGCACAAACCGATAACCAATTTACGGCGACTGCTTACTAATGTCAAGGACAAAGACAAACCGGAGGACAGACAGGGAGCAGTATACAAGATCAAATGCAGCGACTGCCAGGCTTCTTACATTGGTGAAACCGGCAGAAACCTAAGCACGCGACTGACCGAACACAAACGCGCGACGAGGAATGGTGACGTCAACAATCACATTGCAGAGCACCATTTAAAGACGAAACATCAAATTGACTAGGACTCTGCGACATGTATAACGTATTCTACAGACTACTATCAACGTCTTACTTTAGGAAGCTCGTTTACTAACTTAGAACAAACGCCACTGAATCGTAGCCAACAGTTACCAGCGCCGTACAGACGACTTATTGACGAGATCAAGCAAAACTAACTACGAGAGAACAACTGGAGAACTGACAATTTGACTAACAATAGACGACTGTTTAACTGTGACAATAGACGGATCAAAACGCACCAATCACTGATTACGAGTCTTCATAGCCAATAACATCACGGCTTAACTGACAGACGACCAATAGCATCGCGACATAATTGACCAATCAGATCAATAACCAGAGTATAATACCATCAACTGACGTGATAAAACTCACTTTGACTCTGAAGATGACTACCGCACAGGTTGTCGAAACGTCAGTCACTGTCAACAACAACAGTCCTGTTCAGGACTACGTTCACCTGGACGATCAAACTCAACCTTTGGAAAAGACAACTTTACTTGGCTAAGAAAGGTTAGGGTAAAACTAGACTCAAACATAAAAATAAGAGGATGGCGTATTTTTTTTAACATTACAGTCTTATTTCGAAAAAACGCTAAAAAAAACCTATGACTGTAGTTTTCGGATCTTCTTGTGATACTTAACAAATCGACCACAATTTTCCTTGGTCTACACTCTTATAGACCACAGAAATAAAGTCATAAAATGTTCAAACCTCAAGTGAAACCACGAGCCGCAGGCGAGTGGTTTCACTGCAGAGGTTTGAACATTTTATGGCGATTTGTTTTTTACAATAAAAACATTTATTTTTTTTACTAAAAACCAAAAACAAAACAACCGGCACTGCGTGACATGTTACGTCATTTCCATGGTCTATACTCTCATAAACCATAGCTCTCGACCAATTAGCGCGCAAGGATTCGCTCATGAGAAATATAAAGAAAACATTTACCGAGTACATCAATCAGACGACCAGGTGTAGCAATGACAATCTGAAGAAGAAAACTATAACGGAGTAAGTACTCAGCGATACATGTTAACATAAAAGGCAACAAACACTTCTCTACAACTCGCCACTTTAAAAAGGAGAGGGAATCTGGGCCGAGTTAACTTTTGCAAAGGCTTCTGGGACTGTTACTAGGGACATGAAAAAAAATTGGCCAATAGCTGACCAGCGCTTCCCTAGTAACCATCCCAGAAACAAATGCGGCACGCATTTCGGCTCCAGGGGCCCGTTTCTCGCCGACAGTCCCGATTATTAACGGGCCCGGTAAGCTGTCTCCCGTTTACATTAAAGATCGAGGTTTCAATAGTTTTGCATCTAACATGACTATTAGTAAATGAAACAAAATGGAGTAGTTCGCTGGCCAGGACCAGCGCTCTTATTCTTTATATTTCGATTTGAATATTTGTTTCGGGTCCGAAAAGTTACCCGGACTTTTCGACAAATGGGCCCAGTTTCCTTCCCATTTCCTAAGTGGTCAATGAATTTTTCTTCACCTTCTTTGTCTGGAGAGTGCGTTGTAGTGTGGCTTACGAGGCAGGAGTTCGATCGGGCGAAGGGGGGAGGGGGAATACGGGCGCACGATACCGCGAGGAGCGTGCGAGGGAGGAGGGAAGTCCCTCCTCCCTCTCTCGGTTTGGCCACGAAGGCTAGTTTCAGCGTACGAAAGGGGAACAGATTAGCTTACCTCGCAGCCAAGCCTTAGCTGAAATCCTTGGTCCTCGCGAGAAAGCTGGAGATAAAATGTATAAAAGGTAGGTGTTAATTGACTTTTTATGTATTCTTTTATGGCTGAGTGCCTATCTCTCTTATAGTTTTCAAAATCCCATTTGACACGAACGCAGTATTTAGACTCTCTGATAAGCGACTACATCCAGGCTCAACAACCATGAAATTCTGTTTCACGCATTTTTCAGGGAATCACTTCATTTTCGAAACCGAGCCACAATTGTCTCTACGAATTATAGGAAAGCCATTCTAAGCTCAGAGGGAAGTTGTAGAAGGAATAAACGCACGGTTAGAAAGCTTTGTCCTGTTCCATTCGGGAACTCCTACCACACGAGCTACGACATGTCCTGGCCACAGATGTCCGCTCTAACAATATGTGGGATGAACCACGTTGTACCTCGTTAAGGCAGATTCGATGTGCGAACATGATTTGAGGTGATGTTCACGGGACGATTTTAGCACAACACAGCGTTGCAACATTGTTTTAAATTGTTCCAACACTGTTCCAACATTGCACCCAGGGTAGCTACGACACCATTGATAACGACACTGTCGACTTATGCGTAGATTTCTTACCCCACAAATCACGGACACTGTCCTGACGCCAAGAGGACGACCAAACTTGGCAGCTTCATCTTCGATCTGGCAAGATTAGAAAAACAAACGTACCGTTGGCTCTGATTTACCGCGGTATACCTTTGTAACAATAAAAGTACTTACTTTTAACCTACGGCACGAACCCTGGTGAGTTAATCGAACTGATAGTTTACGGTAATTTAGCCCCTCCTGCTGACAAGAAGGCGTACTATTGTCTTAAGGAACAAGCTTTTAGATAATTTTGTAAATGCTTCTTAGCTAAGTTAAGTATTGTAATTAGTAACAACTTAAGCACTGTAATCAGTAATAATGTAAGTGTTGTAATTAACTGTAATAATTGCAAATAATGATTGCTCCTGAAAAGCCCCTTTGGGAAGGAAACAAGAAATTATGTATGTACGTATGTACTAATCCCATGAATGTAGGTAGACCACAAGAACTCGGCTTTTTTCCAAAAAAATAACCGCTGCTCTTAAGGCACAACGCAACGGAAGCGTGAATTCTTGCACGCGAGCCTCATCTGTTTGGGCGAAAGTACATGGTTGGGGCGAGTTGACATGAGGCCCTCATGCCTACTCACCTAAGGCCGAATTGACCAACTAAGCTGTTGTGCCAGTTCCCCGGTGAGTTGACATGAGGCCCTTATGCCAACTCGCCTGAGGGCGAAATGACCAACTAACCTGTTGTGCCAGTTCCCTGGTCGGAGTTAAGATTACAGCATAAGGTCCCTTATCAGCATCTGCGTCACGTTCAATCTTTGGCAGCCCCATAATCCACACCAATAAAGGAATCAGAAATGCTGCTGTTTTACCACTACCTTTTTATTGAAAAAAAAAATTGTTATCGCCTGTTCTCAATATCGGTGTGACCTATTGCAATACAAGTACAATAGTTAAAATTTTCCCAATAGTCACCCCTACTGAGTTCTCACTTCACCTGTTTCAGCTACTCCTATGATGTCCCTGTTCTGAAGTCCAATAGGAATGGCTTGGCGCTGAATTGGTGTTGGTTCCTATGAACACACAGGATAGATAATGTACGAGTTGTCCCAAAGCTTTACTTTTGGTTTGGAAAAATGAAACATTTGTACGAGTTAAAAGAACTTTTTTACATGGGAAAATCACATAATTCTGAGCGTAAACTCTGCCCTACAGATAAGATCACTTCTTTCTCTTTTAAGTAGATGAAACTGGCCGGTAAATAAACAAGTAAAAAAGAAGATAAATAAAAAAATCGACTTTTTTCAAAAGTCAATTGCATTCAAAGTGATCATCCAAGCCGCGCAAGACGCAGGACCTTCTTTCTCAGTTCTTTTGTAACCCTGAGTGCTGATCTAGCCCCGGAGATCAAACTAGGCACCCTTCTTATCTGCGACCATTGCTGATCTACCAACTGAGGCAGCCCTGCTGTGGTTAAATAAGTGACTAGATTAAGAAAAGCATAGCCGATGATGCTTCGAGATTTTTTATCAACGTATACTCTGACAGTCAAACCCTCATACCAAGTGAGCAAGGAATAATAACATTGCCTCCGTCTTCCAAACATTACAAACCATGAATATCGATGTAAAGAAACAGTTTAACTTGAATGTGAAAATTAAACCAGCGCCATTCTGGTTGTGACATTTGGGGCGGGGAGATAAGTGACTAAACTAAAGGGTTACCGGTCGTTTCGATACAAGCTAGCTCCTTCGAGGTGTAAATAGTTTCACGTACTTGGCTTAAAGAACGAAGAATATTCAACCAAAGTGTATTTCTTGTTCAACTGCAAACTTTACTCGAAGTGATCGAAATTCTTGCGCAATTTCACTTCTTGAGTTCGTATCGAACGACTAGTATCGAAACGACTTTGTATCAAAATGACCGGCTTACCTCATATTGCAGTTTGTTTACAATATCCAATATTGAAGTTGGAAGGGTGCTTTCTCTCCACGAGCGCAGAGGAAATGGAATCTTGCCACCTGCAATGAGGAGGGAGAAAATACAGTAAAAACCCGTGAGTAAGAACCTATATTTTCCCCAGTTAGCCTTAACAGGTTCAAGTTACATAAATGGTAATTAGCACAAAATTAGGCTATTTAGGTTCTTAAATTGGTTCTTATTTTTTGAAAAAAAAAAAAAATTCCTTGTAGCTAAGAGTATTTATTGGTCATCAGCTCATTCCTTGGGTAATAAGACTTCAGTTGTTGTTTTTCTTCAGTTGCGACGGAAATGACGATTAAGACTGCAACAATGTTAGCATTTAACAGTGCGCAGAGTAATCCACAGACAAAAAGAAAAAAAAAACAGATAAACCCAGGCCAGGACCAAAAACGACAAGATTTCAACAGCCTGTCCAAGAATCTCTTGCCTTTTGTAGAGATGGCAAAATCTTCTCCCAAGATCCGCCAATCTCTTTCCACCATTTCCTCCAAGGATTTTTTGCTCCAGTGACGATCATCGAACGCACGCTGTCTTTCCTGATCACGCTGCTTCTTTATTCGCGTCCTAAAAAAGAAGGAACCACGAGTCACGTTTACGACAAACGGCAAACGGAAATTTGTACCACGTGATCAAGTTTCCCATTTACTTGTCGTTTATTGTTTTTTATATCTACATAAATACAGAGCTTCAGGGTACGTTTCTTCACTAAAATCCGAGATCGGATTAAAAATGCGGATTTTGATTTTAGTAAAGAGACGCACTCTTAGATTCTTTGACAAGGACGACTACGAGTACAAGACTTTCTCAATACTGAGTATTGCTCAAGCGTGAACCAGCGTCACTTTGGCGCGAAAACGTGATAACGTACCGTCGTTATTCTACAACGGGTTTCACAAGAATGATCAACGAGAATGTCGTAGTGGCGGGAATAAGTTATCAAATGTAAGAAGTTTTATCATTTTGCTATCGGGAGAGGGCTTAACTTTCTTCAGTATAAATAACTGTACTGACTTTTTCGGTGAAAAAGTACACTGAAGCTTTCCGTGGTGTCTGTTTCTTTGAGAACACGCGCAAAAACTTTAAGTTAAATCTCGTCCTCGTCCTCAGATCTCAAGCTCTCTAATATTAGAAGTCTTATGCCACAGAGTTTCATCAGTAAGAAGGATTTTGGACAGTTTTTACCTTCTCATTTCCAAATTTGAGAAATTGTCCACTTAAATTTGACGTTTACCGTTTGCCGTAAACGTTATGCTAAATCTCTCAAATAATTACAGTTGATGCTCTCTTGAGCGGATAACCTAGAGAAGCAGAAATAGTATCCACAACTGGAGCATGGTTCGAACAGAGTTTTGGATGGCGGAAAATTCGAGGCTTTTCCCGGACTTTTTCTAAGACAATAACTTTCTTTTTCCAGACCATAGTTAATTGAGTGGAGTGGTTATGAAACCCGTCAGACTCCTTTGTTATATGTTTTTGTGGACCTGAAAGAGCACAACGTTCAAAAGAATTCCTATCATTTTGATTGTATTGACCAATAAAAACGTTGCATTAACTTATTCCGTGACAATTTGTCAACAGAACACAAAGGATTGTGCACTTTCACGGTGCTTTGAACATAAACTGCAGCACTGTTGGTTTTATCATTGATGTTTGCCGCCTTTCATAACCAGTCTCCTCTAATAACTATGTCCAGACTCAAAGTTTTCTAACAGGCCAACAATGAAAACCTCGATTGACATATATGTACGCTGGAGCCAGGCTTTTCAACAATGCACGGCAAACGTACACTAATCACAGTGCAATGCGGACATAAGACATCATTTGTCCCGTTCGGGACAATTTCATCTCTTCTAGGATTGAACTAATTTCAAATGCAATTCGCGTCAGTGTTAGTGGTTTTTTTGTTAATTATTAGCAGGATAAGATACTTACGCCTCTTGGGTCTTTTCCTCAACAGTTCGTCTTGTCTCCAACATTTCCTGATAAAACTTTCCTGTCTCCTTCTTTTGCCACTGGGAAGAAAAAAAATTCATTTTCCAAGGATTTTTACTTTACAACCTGTAACCTCACTACATATTAACATTCTAATGCACAGCCGAGCCTCCCACGCGCGTGGGCCAGCGTTAGTTTGGCGGGAAAACACGATAGCTGTCGTCATTCTACTACGAGTTTCAGCGGGAATGGAAACAAGTTAGTATCAAGACGTTCATGAGAGAACTTTAGAACCTTCTTCAATAAAAATAACTGTGCTAACTTTTATGGTGAAAGAAGTACAATGACGCCTTCCGGGGTTGGAGGTCTCCATTGTGATGGCTAATATAAAAAATATCGATGTAGAAAGGAGTAGTTTGAGGAGTCTCGGCTCAGGCCGAAGGATGCTGATAATGACAATGAAGAAGTGTGTACATGTACACCTCAGGGGCGGATCTAGGGGGAGGGTGGAGGGGTTCGCGCACCCCCTGCCCCCTTAAGATGACCTGCGGCTTTCTAATTCAACTGGTATTTTGGCAAAAAAAAAATTGCTGGTTTATTGGTGTTGAAGTAAAACACGAGACGAGGTTGGAGAATTTATGTTAAACGCCCTTAAAAAATGGTAGTTTGTCTGAATTCTGCTGTATCGTGTAATATGTATTCTCAGCAGTTCACATTATGTTATTGCCTAGTCAAAAGCCTGAAAAAGCCTTCTTCTTGGTATTCGCTTTTAAAATTTGTTTACGTCACCAGTCAGTTACGTCATTCCTTAGTGATGCAACCGCTCCTAAGAAAAATCCTTGATCCGCCCCTGCATCTGTTGCCTGCTTATTCATCCATAACTTTGAACACTTCTCTGAACAATCTAATTCCCTGATTTCGACTGTGGTTAGATACCCCAGCTGTTTTTGAATGTTCACCTTGATATCAATTCCGCCAATATGTCCTCTTCCAAAGAGCTGAATTTGATGCTTTTCTGTATAGCTAAGCAAGACAAGTACTTGTAAGTAAAAACGAGAGTTGCACAGACTGAATGTATGTTTCTTGATCAAGAAGCATATCAGCACTTAACTCCCTAGGCTGGTTATTTGAACAAAGTCTTGTTTATGTTTACTTTTTTAGAGACTCAAGAAGCCTCCAAATCTGTTTGTAAGGTGTCTATTTCATTATTATAAGTAGATGGATATGTTCTGTAAGTCTTCGCGATGCTGCTAGACCTAACAACAACCTATGTTTAGATGGGAAATCTGTTTTAATAACCGGCATTCATCAGGACTGTCAGTGACACCCAGGGGCTTGAAATCCCCTCCCCCCTCCGCCCCCTGCAACTAACAGTATGACTCCCTGCTACTTTCAAAGGCCTGCAGATCGTGGTTCACATGAGTTATGAACATTTTGATGTCATTTCTATGGTCTATTTGATTTGTAAAAATATAGAAGGAAAAGAACTTGCTACCTGTCCAGTTCTAGACTACCAGTAGTCTATCCCCGAGAAAAAACTGGGACTACTCGTAATTGTATATACCTGGCAACATTGAATTCTTAGTCCAAACAAGAGTCAAAAACAGTCTGACAAGAGTCAGTAAAACAGTCAAAATTTTATGAGCAATACCCTTAGGTGAGTACCTCTGGACTGTGACAAGAGCCTGTGTTGTTTTGAAGCACTTGAATCAAGAGCAGTCGTGATAATTACTGGTACAATACAGCAATACAGTCAAGTCAACTATGGCAAATCTACATTCAATAATTTACAATGATTTGTATTTTTCACAAACAGCGTAAAACCAATTTGTTATGTGTGTCTCAATAATACTAATTAAAATAAATAAAAACTACTGCACCAAAAAAATCAATAAAAAAGCTTGTTACAACTAAATGTGTCAATGGTGATTGCACCAAAAAGCTTGGTACAGTCATGTGATTACTTACAGTGGATTTTAGTCGACTGCAGTGTCTTCCCCTGTGTCCCAGTCAAACACAAACTTTCTGTCAGCAAGACGACGAACCTTCTTTCTTTTTTTGGCTCCACCAAGGTATCGCTCCTGGAATGAAGTAGGACAGACAAACACTGTTAAAGGCCCATTTACGCAGGTGACATTTATAGCAATTTTAGGCATGATTTCTGCCAAGGTAGATTCTTAGTAACACTCGCACAGAAATCACGGATAAATCACATCAGGATCGAGCAGTGAAAAAACAGTGATTTTGTGGAGACAAATAGCCATAACATTCCCACTAGTAAAAAAATTGGACAAAAAACTGGCCCGTGTACTTTTTTGATCAGCATAAAATTCTAAGATTTTCCCACCTCCCCACCACCTCCCCCACTAAACCAACATTTACAGTACGATTTTTCCCTTGGGGCAAAATTTTGGGTTAGGGGAGGGGTAGGTGGGTAGTCTCCCAGTTTCTAACTAAGTAAACATTTGTATGACCTTGCAAGACCTTTTGCCTTCCAGCACACTCTTGAAAACCAAGGCTGTGCTCTAGCAATGCCTGCTTGGCCCCTGGTGCCTAACATTGGCTCTTGGGTTCATGAATCTAGTGGCCTTAGCTCCCATGAGTCTCCCGTAGCTCTGTGGTAGAGCCTCTGTACTAGTAACCACAAGGTCATAGGTTCAACTCCTATTTAGGCCGATTTAGATGGTATGATTTTTGCTTACGACTATCATACATGACTAGCATACGTCATGACTTTTGACCATCCACATGTGCACAATTTTCACTTATGACATCCACCATGGGTCATGGGTCTAATTTGCATGATACGATCTGTCATGATCTGTCATGAAGTCAAGACGCATGCTAGTCCTGTATGATCGCACCGTCGCACCGTCTAAATCGGCCTTTTGGAAAACTGGGATTCTTCTGAGTCACCTCTATTACTGACGGAAAAATCATCTCTCTCATAGAAAAATGCTAGTTGTTTCATAGAAATCATGCTTCGACCCTCTTCCATTCCATACCATCTGAATGCCTGCAACAGCCTATTTTTTTTACTTGTATACTAGGTAAGGATTTTACCTTCTTTAGACAATTTTATTACTGGCATACATGTATAAACACTGTCTCGTTCACACAAATTTTAGTTAGATGATGATACATTACCTTGATAGCTTGCACCTCTTTAACTTGCTCTTTCTCCTACAAGAATAAAGAGAACTACACTGTGCATGTTTACTAAAAACTGTACAGTACACCACCTAAACCCTTAAATAAAAAATGATTAAGGCTTGGAGGAGTCAGAATGACCAAGTTGTGTGGGGTGCTGGATTCAAACTTGATCACATCAGGTTCAAATCACGCTCTTACCACTAGGAACAGTTGTTCACAGCATTGGCAAGTTCAACTCCTCAACCATGCCTTCTTGAAGATCGTCAACCGACTTGACTTAGTGGTGGGAATCGGTTGAGATTTCACAATCGATCATCGGAAATGATCGGATTGCTCCAATCGATCGATCGTCGATTATAATCGGAAAAATCTACCAGTAAGCATTCCAAGATTACATTGCAGCAGTTCAAGTGAGACTGACACGAAATCAACAAAACACACGTGCCACAAACCTTTGTTGGCGTATTTCTTTCTGCAGAGCCTACAGATTACCTTCGTCATATCTAAGTTTTCCTTTGTTTTGGGCCCTTCCTTCACTTGATAAAAACCAAAATATTCCCGCACGTTTGACCTGGCGTTTCCAGGATAACGACAGATCTCCAACTCGGCCATTTCAGCCGCCATGTTAGACTCGTCAGCAACATGTAAGGGAGGCAGGTCTGAGAGAGGACCCTGGAAATCGCTGCGATGTTGTTTCTTAATACCTTTCATTCGCTAGTGATAGTAGTGATACTACAAACGCGAAACAGTAAGCTTGTAATTTATGTTTTGGTTCAGTTGTTTACGAAATACAAAGCAGCTTAGCATGCCACATCTTTCAAATAAGCGTGGCGTATTTGAAGTGACAACAACACAGCGCGCAGGGTACGCAAAGGTAAACACCTTCAATCTTAGATTATATCTGCTGTTATGACTTAAAAGTTAGAAGTCCACGAAAAAGACAACTCACACCAAGATATTAAACGTACATGTTTATTTGTCACCAATAAATTTTTAATTTTTCCGCGACAATCGATTATGAAAAAAGCATAATCGATTGTCGCGTCGCTTGAACTTTTCGATCAACTTTCGATTATAATCGATCATCGGCCCACCAATAACTTGACTACAAACAGTTGGGATTTATCTGCTATGTTATGAGATTTTTTTTCTTTATTTGCTGGCCAAAATGTTAATCTAAGCTACCGTTGTATTTGTTTCATTGCGGCTTGCTTTATATTCTTGTGTAAATACACTCATCTGTAAAATCTTTTGCAATAGCAGACCAGAAAAAAATGTAATTGAATAACTAACGGCTTTTAAACTAAAAATAATTAATTATTACCGATAAAGGATCAAATTTATGGATCTAAGTAGTTGAAGTTTACTAAAAAATAACTATCATGAAGGGTGGAAATAATTAGCTGTAAAATAGTTTTGATGGTGAGGTCGACTTTGGACAACTATGGAAAAAAATCATGATCCACCCTTGCCCTTAGCAGGCAAAGACACTAACTCTTCTTCAGTTTGGTTCTTTTCTCTTCTTTCCCGCCTTTCTCTTCTTTCCCTTTCCACTTCGTCCTCTTTAGAAAATGAAATAATAAAGTTTATCTAAATAATTAAATTTTGTTTACTTTTGCCAATTACTTGCCCTCAATCGCTGTATTTTAAAGTAAGTAAAGAAATTACAGGTAAATGACAAAATCAGAGATCTGAGACAAACAAAAACGCCTGTATGTCTCCTGAGCATTATTTTTGAAGTTGCAAGCAGCAGGGATCAACTTTGAAAAACTGTTAGGCTGAACAGTTTTCAAAAACCCTAATTTCAATCCATTTCGGTCTTCTTTAGTTTTGCCCATCTGTCATCTGTTGTTTCTGTTATGTTATTTGAACCTTCCTTTAAAGTTTTAAGAGCCAATGTCTGTAATTTTCGAAAATCGGTTGACAGTCGTGAATTTTTGAATTTGTTCATATTTTGCCCAAATAATCTCTATAGTACACTTATTTCAAAAATCACATTAAAACTTGTAACGGCTTTTTATTTTTTCCTGAATCGGGCAAAGTTTAAAAAACGCTAAATCGGCGCTCTTTCGAGTTTGAAATTAGCGAAAATCAGGCATTTTCTTCGCGCTCGTACATAAAAAGGGGATGATATCTCTCAATGAAATCAAGTCACAAAGCAAACACAGACTTGTACTTTATAATTCGGCAATTATCTTCAGATAAGCTGTTTAAATGTGACTGTGTCGGTCGCAAGAAGAAACACGATTTCGGCTCTCTTCAAAAATTGCAAATTTGACCTAACTTCACCATCGAAAATACCTAATTGGTACATAGAGTTTCAACATGAAACAAACACTATTATAAAGCACATCCTTTGCCGTTTCCTGTGTTAAAAAATTTTTGGCGGCATTACAAAAGTGCGTCGCTGAGACACCGAAACGTGCAGGGTAGTTTCGCACGTTGGAACGCTGCAACAAACTAGCCGCGAGTGTAGGCACACAAACGTTTTTGCAAACTTAGCTTCTTTTATGAGGGGCACATTACGGGAAGCTCTTAAGATCTTTTGAAAAACACTTTTCAATTTGATGGTTATAAAAAAGAACTAAGTAGATTAACACTGCATTTGATTGCACGCAAGTAGCTGAAAAAGACAACGCTGCTAATTTCGTGTTGAGTGTAAATATTGACCTCGAGTTTCTGCACCTAAAATAAAGCCGCTAGAAACGGCTTGCTAGCTCTAAATGAGATACGAGATCTATAAGAATTTACTTACCACAGTCGTTTCAACTGCAAGTGGCCGTAGTTTACTGAAATTTTCCGTCGTTTAGCCGCGGACTAAACCCTGTGTTGCGTGATGAAAGCCCGTGTGTGATTTGAGTCTTGTCACGCAACTGTACAGACAAGG